AAACGCGGAGGGCAAAATCTTGGATAAGGGAGGATTACCACATTAGGCAGAGAGCGTTCTTAAAATATTTTTATTTATTGTTGTGTTTGTGTGCACAGCACAGTGCATATGCAGAAGAGGATAACCTTGTGAAGTTGGTCTCAGTTCCCACCTTTACACGGGTGGGTTCTGCGGATCGAACTGAGGTTGCCAGGCTTCGTGGCAAGCACCTTTACCTTCCGAGTCACCTCATCGGCCCGTTTCTTGAGACTTGATACTGTAATGGACATGGATAAACTTGCTAAGAGAAGCCCATTTCTACTAGCTTTTCTCAATACACTTTCTGGTCACCGTGCCAGGAGTTACTGCCTCAGAGCCAAAGCCCGATTGTCTTTCTTGTCCCTGTCACTTAGCATTTCTTGTGTAAGGCAGAGGACGTTTTGGACCGAACCACCTCTTTGGGTCCTCATCTTCCTTCTCAGGATTCCTGTGACTATGTAGAACTATTACACATATTTATCCTGGTAATCTGTTTCATGTTGCTTTAATTCTTAAGGGAGTCATAGAACCTAAGAGAATACAAGGGAAGTTTCCTTCCTTACATTAGCTTGGATGCTAGTTTTGGTGGCGGCTGTAATATTCTGTTATAAATTTCCTGGCTTAAGTTGACACAAATTTCTGTAGGTTAGAAATTTGACATGCATTTCACTGGGTGAAAGTCAACGCATTAGGAAGGCTGTGTTCTTTTTGGCTAGAGCTTGGGGAGGATTCATTTAATTATTTTTTTTCTAGCTTCCAGAGCAATGGTTCTCAACCTTCCTGATGGTTGTAGTGACCCCCCAACCATAAAATTATTTTGTTGTTACTTCATAACTATAATTTTGCTACTGTTGTGAATTGTCCATCTAATATGCCACCCCTGCGGGGTTGCGACCCATAGAGTGAGAACTGCTGTTCTAGAGGTTTCTCATATTGCTTGGCTCATCACTGCCTGGCGTCTTCAAAGCCGGCAGTGACAGGTTGAGTATCTCTCAGTCATGCCAATCACTCTGTGTCTTCTGTTCTCTATTTCCACTTTCAAATATATCCTCAACGACACTCGAGTTGTTCTGATAATGCATGATCATCTCCTACGATTTAAAGGGCAGTTAATATGCAACTTTAATTCCCTTTTGCTATGTAACATTTCACGACTGGAATGAATTTAGGCTCCATTATTCTAATTCTACTAGATAATGCAGGACATAAAATTTAGGGAAATCGTGTGTACATTATTTCTCTTTCTCTCTTGCTAAGACATCTCCCCACTTCTTACCCATACAGTGTCTTTTGGACAGATACCTGGAGATATTAGCTAAGCCGGAGTGGACCCTCCATTGCAGGTTTTTTTAAATGGCAAATGCCAATCTTCCCTAAAACATTCAGAGCTAAGCACTTGAATAGGACTTTTACACCTTTCTTTCATGCTGTGCTGGGAGGTAGTTCTGAGCTGTGGTGTCACACGGGCTTGAATGGAAATTCTTACCCCAAAACTTAAGGCCCCATGAACAATTTAACTTTCCCAAGCTTTACCTTCTTCTTCTGAAGACACTATAAAGGACCCCAAACAATTGTCTGGAGGGTTGAAATCAAGGAGGGCTGGGAAGCTGCTGCAGCAGAGACTTGAGGACTATTTTGAATCCTTTTCCCTTTACACTTCTTCCTGATGCCTAGCTTTCTTGGCCTGGAGACATACCCCCACAGGGTAGAAATCTAGTGTTGGATCTCATCATGAATCTGTATCCTAACTTCTGAAACACTGACCAGAAAAGCCTATTTGAAGCCTTAAAAACCCAGTGCCTGGGATAAGTTCATTAATTAAACCCACTGATGTGTGAACTTGTTCACGAAATTATGATTAAGTAGTGATGGAAGCTAAATGAACCACAAAGAATGGTTGAGATACATTGGAGAATGACAAACGTTTATTGGTTAGCTCCAGCTAACCAATGCCTTTTTCTGTGCTGAAAACCAACGGACTCGGGTAACACTTTAAACATCACAGTCTCAAAATGCTCTTAATGTTCCTCCTCCTTTCTTCCAGCTGGACCTTAAGAACAGCCACAAGATGGGAGGGGTACGTACGGGGTGATGGGCCATTGACTTGTTTCTTTACACTCACCCCGTATTTGCATGAAAATGTGGCCCCTCATTTTCACTTGGTTAGTTCTCAAGGAAGAACTATCTCCTCTAGGATCAGCTTAAAGACACCATGCCGTGCTCAGTGGATGAGCAGGAGTCCTTTATCTGACTTTCTATTTGTTTTCGTTGCTGCCACATCGCCTTGCAAATCGCTGCCCTTCTTGAGGTGGCTAAGTCTGCAGGAGGGCTCAGGTCTCTACAAAACAAGTGGAACGCATTTCCTTTTCACCTGTTTGGGCTAATGGCCTTGAGTGTCATGTAGAGCAAAGAAATTATCCAGCCTCCATTCAGCTGAACTGTTTGGTTTGAAAGAGAAAAGACTAACTCCAGAAGAATCATTAAATGAAAATGAGAAAGTTTAGCAAAATAAGAAGGAAAAAATGGGGGAAAAAAAGTCAGCTGAAGATCCTCTAGGGAACAAAATTGTTGATTTGTTTAGGTGGAGATGAACTGTTCTCAAGGTAATTCAGGGTATGAAATGATTTTCTTGTAAATGGAGGCTTTCTTGGAAATTCAGGTTGCTGTGGATACTTTTTTTCCCACTAACTTAAATTTATTTTGGTGGAAATTACTTAGACCTATGACCTGGAAAAGTGACCTGTCTTGGGGACCTTTACATGAGAATTGAACTCCTGGCCCATAATCAATGCAGCATGTGCTGCAGTGAATTATTCCTAGACTAAAGTCAAATCAGAAGCTCAACAAAATTGTCATTTTTAATCCCTAATGTCACCCAGTAGATGAAGAAACCAATGATCCTGGGTTGCAAAATAAATACATAATAAAAAATCTTGAGGTGGAATATAGCTCTGTGCAGCAGCAGTAATTCTTCACCATCAAGGGGGCTGCAACAACAGGAAAGGCCATGAAAATCTATACACACCCTATAGGTTATTGGGAAAATAAGGATATAACCTCTGACATCTGGATTCTTCTGAGAACACAGTACAGGCCATGTCCGGACTCGGTAGAGGTGAAAGTTTTTCACAGGAGTCGTGATTCTTGTCCTGAAAGGGTATAATCTGAAAAATCACCTCTCTATTTTTCTTCATTGGGGTTAAATACAATGTTGGCTCAATAAGCCATTCCTAAGCCTCTGCAAGAAAGCTTTAACCTTCCTTGACGTACTGAAGACCTAGATTTGAACCAAGCGGGTAACGTTCCAGCTGGTTTTTAACCACTGGCTCTTCCTGCCAGAATGTTTCCATTCATCCCCAGCCAACACCTATCTTCCATGGCCTGGCAGCAAAACCTTTTCACCTCTCCACACCCTTGTTTCTGCCTCCCCAGTCCTTTGGCTGCCCTTTGGGGTTTGCATACTTGTTTAACTGGTTCCTAGACGGCTCGTACAGATCTTACCTTACATAAATCTAGCTATAACAAATTAAGAGTGGGAGTCAATACAAACACAAATGGATCTAATTTATAATGAGAGTGCTTCGAGTTTTTTTCTCTCTACAAATTACACATGGGCTTTCAAAGGAGAGAATTGAAGAGTGGGCTTGAGAAACAACTAATTATGGCTGAGGTTGGCAAAAGACTATGATAGCATCAGATAAAGCATAAATCCCAGCTATTATCACAAGGCAACACCCTTCGGTAAAGGCAATGGAGAGCAGTTATCTTTGTTATCGGTGCACCGATAAGATTCAAGCTTCCAAGAGAGGCCGGCACACAGTAGGTGTTCTAAGAAGGCAGAAAGACTGAGAATAACTAAATCCTGATAAATCAGCGTTACCCATAAAACAAGCCTCCCCCACCATATGCTCAGTCTTTCAAAAGGCAGCACCATTGTTCATCTCTTTACACCCCGCCTTTTCCATTGTTTTGGGCGTTCTAATTCTTTCACACGTGCATGCGACTTCAGAGATGCACAAGCACACAACCAACCCTGAAATCACCGGCTTAAATGTTATTCAAAGCAAGCTGCCTCGGGTTCCTGCTTTTTAAATGAATTGCGGCTTCTAACGGGTTCGGTTTCTGTGCAGCTTTCTTTCCCGCCTTCTTGGAGCTGAGGCGAGGGATTAAACAATCAGCATTCTCTCGCCGTTCCCTCAACCCCAAAGTTTCTCTTTCCTCCTCTCTCCTTCCCTCTGCTCTATTTCCTTTCACAGCCCGTCGTTTCTCAAGGGTCCTTGCTCCGCTTCCTCCCTCTCCGCCTGCTAGTCCCTTTGATCCTTTCTTCTGAGCCCCTATTCCCAGAAGCTGCAGAAAATACCTTCTTTTCCCCCCCTTTCACGTCACTTCCCTCCCCTCTCCCATCTCCCTCTCTTCTCGGAGGTGAGTCCCTCTAGAGGCCGGCTGGCGCTCTCCGAGCTCCGTCCTTTCAGACGGCGAGCGGAATTCGGAGAGAAAGAAG